TTATTGTTGTTGAAGATTAAAAATTCTATCCACAAACACCTTAATTTCCCATGTCATGCCCACTTTAGGCTCAAATTATTTTTTTTTAAATAATATAAATGATTACGTTTCACTCAATTGAAAATTCGTGTTTCGTCGAGAAAATTTAGGATTTCCACAAAGTAAAATACTTGTCTCTTCCGTTTGTGTGTTTGAAGAGTCTCATGTTATTTTCTGCAGCATTTCATATTCTGGAGGAGCACCAAAAGGAAAAGCTTGTAAGCAACTCTAACTGCAAACTTTTGATGGCATAACAGAGAGATAACCTGCAATTTCTAATCGGAAATGGCGCACCTACGTTAGGTGCAAAGTGCCTCTGCAAGAAAGCTCAATTTATAGCCATTAGAGAATACTCTTATGAGACAAAATTGTGAGCGTGGCGCGAGCTCATACCCTGACACCTTGAGGCCTTCGTGGAAGTCGTGATGTTGTATCTACTAAATGCAATTGTCGCCACACCGAGTCGCATTCGTGGACGAACGGCAGGACTAACTCCAGTCATCTCTATATCCATTATCGGTGACTTCTAACTAGGGAAGATGTACTTTTCAGGCACGTGTTGAATGCAGACACCGAGAAAGGATTTTCAGGCTTGCCGTGGCCTTAAAAAGAAACGGGCACCGACAAAAGGTTCGCCTGCAGCTGTGGATGAGTTAAGCACGACATTGTTCTTCTACCAAGAAAAAAATTTACTGGTGAAAATTTCGCCAATTGTACAGGATTTGGCTGCATCATTATTTTTAATTAATGAGCTATTTCACTAGAATGGCTTTGTTTCGAAAGCCGAATTTAAGTATGCAAACAGGGAGTAAATTCACGCTCGACCCAAAAGAACTGCGTTGGGCTGGTTACATGTTATATACTGATTTCACGGTGAGGTCAAGCGTTGTAAATGAATTTAACGCTACAACTGCCAAAACGCTACTACTTAACGCACCATTTTATTATTCTCCACCTAATATTTAGCGTGCTTTTTGATAATGAATCATGTTTTCTTTATTGTTATTTTTTTTTGTTTTCTGGTCACGCGCTCAAACAGTATCACAAGTGAGTCTAAACCTTAACTCGATGTTGTAGAACCAAGTAGCGCATTGTCGTTAGATCATCGGTGGCCGAACTCCGGTTTACAAGTGGCCACCTATAAATCGGCGTAGATTCTCAGTGCGAGAGAGGAGCATTTGAGCATGCAGGTCGCGAGTTGCCTGGCTCACTTGCGACGCTCGCCGCTATTAAGACAACCGAGTCGGCGTCTATGAACCAAACTTTCCATGAATAATGAAAGCAAGAGGCTGCCTTCCTCATCGACCCTGCCTTTACTTTTTTTTTTCAACCACCCTTTTAAGCTGCCGTAAAGCTATGAAATAAAATAAGCAGACATTGCAGCTAAAATAACGGCAGATTTCATTGAAAGAGGAACTATTAGTTTAGTTTTATATTTTCTCTTAATTAAACACGTTCACAAGTCATTTATATGGCGATTGTAAATTTTGAAGCTTTATTGAGAATGTTTTGAATTTTTTTGAACGTCATGCGGTGCCCCGACGCCTGCACCAGCATCTTCAAGCGATGCCCCGACGCCTGCACCAGCATCTTCAAGCGTCATGCGGTGCCCCGACGCCTGCACCAGAATCATCATGCGGTGCCCCAACGCTACATGACTGGTGACAGCCGAGGCTTTCATCATCAAGGACAATGGAGGACTTTAGCTTATAACTTACTAACTGCTGGATTTTTGAAGTTAATTTGAAGCCAGAGATTCAAGCCATATCCGCAATACTCGAATCAATTCAGACTCTTGAATTTTTCCGATTTAAACTCTTGAATTTTTTCAATTCAAGCTTTCGAACTTTTTCAACTCAAATTCTCGAATTTTTCTAACTGTACTTTTGGAAAAGGAATGTCTTAATTAAAAATTCAATTTCATGTGTCATAAAAATATTTTCGGAAATCAATTTTTGTACTATCTTCGCTATTGAGAATAGTCGTTTGACCAATGAAATAAAATTAAGTTCATTAAATAGATGTAAAAAGTTTGTTCGAGGGTTTGATGCTTGACGCTGTACATTCATATTAAATGTTCTAGCTCGTATTTACGAACATTTTCGAAATAGGATATTATCTGGATTTGAAATTAAATTTGTATTTTTATTATTTTACTTAAATGTATTTTCTTTTTATTTTGAAATTTCAAGAATTGCAACACACAGGAATGGGCAGGTTTTGGAGAGACAAAAAGAAAAAGCAGCACTATTCAGGAAATCAAAATTATTATTTTTTGACAAACGGATGTTTTACGTGTGTTATAGAAGGAGTTTTACGTTAAATAAGATTCCTAAAGTTTGAGAATAATCACTATGTTTAAGAATATCCGGACTCCCAAATATCAGTGATCATTTCATTATAGTATCAGGCTTCAATAAAGTTCTTATGATTTATAAGGGGAAACTGTGTTTAAAACTTCACTTCTCTAGAAATGCTTCGTGTATTGTCGCATTCAAATTGTGTTCAAATTTGAATGAGCTTTTTCAAATAAATTTAATTAGAAGCGATTTCGCTGCTCGATGAACAATTTTCATATGCATGTTAGTAAGGAATTTCCAACATCAATCAAGTTGCATCAAAATATGAAAAAAAATTCTAATTACGTTCAAGTATATTACCATTCGGTTTTAAGATGTCTCATTCTTTCATCATTCAGACTCTGTACAAAATATTGCCATTCTATTTACCTATTGCTAGAAAAATGGCTTGCTGAGGAAGCCTCGCAAGAAGGCTTCGTGTTGGCACTTCTCCGCGGAAGTATGGACGATCTGGCGCCCCATATATGGAGGGTGCAACTTACGGCGCGGTCTTAGACATACTCATCAGTTTTCAAGCCTTAGGCGGCACTCATCGAATATGGCGTTTCAATAAAGTGCAACCTAAACAAACTACTGGCAGATGAGGTTCGCACATTCTCACTCCTGCACCGGCACGTACTCTAACATAATAGATAAATGGCCTGGTCTGCCAGGAGATGAGTATCTATTCATTATACGACGAGAGGCAGATGATACTCTCCACGAGAAGGCTTCCCATTGCCACGTCCAGGGGGCCTCGTTAGCACAGACTTACAACGAGAGAATTATTTTCAGGAGCTAAAAGTGTACAAATTTAACCTAGAAGACTGGGCACTGTTCTATATTGACTCGAAGGCGTGTTTTATGCAGGAGCTCACAAGGTAGTTTTGTTTTGTTGGTGTGAGGAAAAATGAACTGGAAAATGAGGGTTCCTTTAGCAATTTTGAAAAAAGCTTCTGCTGATGAGTGTAGAGCCGAATAGAATACTTGCAACTGAATGCCTTGAAATAAATGCGAAATATTAATTAAGGCGACCTTGTTCCTTGCTATAGATAGATATTTTTTCAGTATTTTTGTAATGATTCTAAATTGTCATGTAGAAAATTCCAATCACGGACAACAGTTCTAACACCGAGGTTCACACCTTCCAAAATGCTCATTCTACTGGTCACGATTTTGATGGCTCGAATTCTTTTTCCGTCCACAAGGACTTTGATGAAGTATGATTTGGTTTCTTAAGCTAATCAATTCTTGTTACTAACTGAAGTATGACCTCACGAAAAAAACGAGCGCATAAATGTTAAGTTGCCACTGAGTTTATGGCGTCTGTCTTGCATGGAAAAATGTCACTGGGCCTGAGAGGTCGATGGTCTGGGTTCGAAGGAAGAAGCTCTCAAGATTACGGCAGAAGACAAATCTAAAGTGACACTGGAGAAACAATCAGTCGTTCAAAGCCCACGGGATCATGACTAAGCGAAGCGTTAGTCTTGCGAACTTTCGTAGCCACAATCGACTTGATTACGATCGGGTTTATCGGCATCAGCTCCTCCCGCCACCAATGCCGTGTTTTTATAACTGCTCTGACCGAGTGTAATGTTTAACTCCAGTAATGGATAGCCAGTTATGAGGCTTTTAAATTTAAATGTAGGACTTAACTTTATTTATAAAGTCATTGGCGATAGCTTTGATTAAATTTTGTAGACTAGAGCTAATTTATTCATTAGACGATGAATCGATTAATTATGAACAAAGAGCTTTCAAACATTGAGGTCAAAAAATTACTTCAATAATTTTTTATTGTGCGAACATATTTTTAAAATGAGGTTATTTTCAGTGTCTCCCTTACCTTTTTTCATTCAACGGAATTAATAAAATGAAACCTAGCTTTGCAGATGAGAAGATCCTGGCTCCTCAATTTAGTGTCAAGCATTTGCCTTAAAGAAAAAGTACACGAGAAGGTCACGAAATTTTAACGCGTATTACGCATAGTTTAAACAAGCGGCCTGCTTAAGAGTCATTGCTTACACATGACACCTGAAGCAAGTGTTTGTTGATCCGCTCGCACCATTGATTGCCGTGACGCTAGTACTCGCTGCGAGCTGAATCGCCGCCAATCGCAAACCACGCAACTCACCTCAAGTAAATCCAATGCACATGAGCGGCCGTCATTTCTGTTTTTATAAGGATTTTTGTAGTAGATACACTCAAAAAGTTACACGTTTTTGGTGCATAATACGTGTGAAGGATCCGAGTGAGCTCTCAAACTGACAGTCTTCTACTGGAAAGCTGACGTGCATTTTGTACATTAGAGGAAGTCCAGCGCCTCTTATCAGCAAAAAGCTCAAATTATACTTCAGCCATGAAATTTACCAGCTTGGTGTGCACGATTTGCTACCTTATTTGCTTTAAATATTTATAATCATGAATTTTGGCGATATTAACCTGGCACTCGAGAACAGAGTTACGTGCGTTGTGTTTCTTTCCCTTTGTTTTTCTCTGATCTAATTCTTCATTCTCCCAATTCACTTGCAAATTAAGTTCGTTAGATATTTTGAAGATGACCGTAAGTTGAAAAACTCTTTTGATGAATACGACGTGAATAAGGACAACAAACGTCATAACGTCATTTCAAAGATGTACTTTCACAAGAGTTGTATATGAAATGATATGCAAGCAATGAGATATATATTCATAAGAATCTATGATAAAGCTGTCTTTACACATTTATGTAACAAAGTCGGTCTTTATTCCGAAGGTCTCAGTCTTAATACCCTTGGCCAAATTTGCAATGGACAAAAATCCAATACCTGACAATTCTTTTCGGTGCTCTTTTTGTCTACTCTAAAGTCAAGAGGTGAACTCAAGAGCCCTCGTCTACCGATCGTTGAAAGCGGTCCTGAATATGTAATTCAAGATATTAATGTAAGAGAGATAACGCAAAAAAAATGAAACCTTAACGCAAATCATTTTCACATAACTTATGAATAGCAACATTGTACTTAAAAAAATAGTAAGCAATACACTGATAGCAAAGATCATTTTACGCTGTTTTTTAGAAGATTAATATAATTCATGGGTCATCTTTATGCATCAACATTGCAATTGATGAAGGTAGACGATGCTTGATCCATGAATAAATTAAATGAGTTGCTCTCCTCGGTGAAGGCAGCAGTGAAATGATCCAATTCGTCTTGGAATGGCTCACAATCTAGCAGACTATTGAAGACGCTGTCGCAGTCCGTACTGCTGATACTACAGCCTGAAGTGGACCCTCCACTGAGGCTCGTAAGAGAACTGAAAGGAGATATGTCGCCGAACGTTGGGGTGTTAGGGGGCAATGAAAGACTTGGACTCGAAGGGGCAGACTCTCCAGATGAAAAGGCGGAATCCGCAGAACTTGGAAGCTTAGTATCTTGTGGAAACTCCAAGAGGACGTCATTTCTCACGGGCGGGCTGTCGAGATCTTGGAATGAGAGGCCACCCAACGTAACGCAATCTGTGGTTGTCTGAGCGGGCAAATATTGTGGAAGTTCTGTTGGTGAAGATTGAGTGAAATACGATTTTTGGTCGTTGCTTACGAGGGATTGATGGACAGTTTGAAAAGAATTGGGAATAGCTGAATAGTTATGTTTTATCTGCTGGATATTTACATTGTTGGGTGTACACGTTCGGTGAAATGGAAAATTCTTACTAGGATCTATGTGTTGAAGCGGCAAGATATTATACTGCGGTGTGAATGATGACTTAACTGTATAATTCGGTGGTGTTTGAATTTGTAAGCCATTACATAACTGTTGGCCCTGACTGAAGTTAATGCCCGGTATTTTCTGAGTTATTGTATTGAATTGCGTCAAATCTGGGGTGGAATAGGTCAGAAGCGGTTCATACTTTCTCATTTTTGTTGATCTGTGCCCTACAATTGGCTCCATTCGAGTTCTTTTTACAGTCATTGACATCATTAGAGGCTGATTATTGATTTGACGAGACTTTGGATTGTGAGTTGTTTGCATAGCGCAATTTTTGAGCGTGATATATGCCCCATTGTTTGTAGCCACGCTGTTCGTTCGGCACACTTTGCCTCGACTCCGAGACTTACCAGGTTTTTTGACTGCAGGTTTGATAGTTGAGTGCAAGAACTTATCTTTCTGGTTATCAAGTTTGCCGGCTTGGTTCGAGGGATGTCTCTTCCTCGGAGCCGAACTCTGAGCTCGGCTTGCAGTAGTCAATGGCTTCACAAGACCTAATTTATTCTGCGAATCTTTTCTAGCGGGCGAGTTTTTATTGAAAGTCTTGGAGCAGTTATCTGTTTTGGTGATGTGTGCGTTATCCATACACCACATCTGGCGTACGTCCTCCACGTCCATTGGCAGCGCAGAATTAGTGTCTAGCACCTTAGCTAAAGCCCCAATGTAAGTCACTGCTAACTTCAAAACAGTTATCTTCGTCAATTTATCGGCGTCTGTTCCCGGAATATCAGGTAGGCTGCTCTGCAGGCTAATGAAAGCATCATTTATCTCCTTCATTCTGTTTCTCTCGCGGGCGTTAGCCGTCTTGCGTCTGTATTTGCTCAGAGGTGGTGGCTTCTCCTTCTCTTTGTTTTCCCTTTTCTTGCTGTTGGTGTGGCGTGTTCGCTCAGATTCAATGCGCTTGAGAATAGATTTGGTTCGAAGTGTGTACTTTGCTGAACAACTGTCAATCAATTCCATTTTACTGAAACTCCACTCAAGCATGAATATACACTAACTATATCTAATGAAACGCAAAAGAAACGAGTATTCATCGAAATAAGTTGCTTACACACATCTGAGGAAATTTCAGGTCAAATGATGTCAGCCGGATCCGTAGAGTTTTGTAATGTTACCCCTCTTCTTGAGGTAGTCCACGGTCTCGTGAAGTGAAAACTCAGCAGTTCTTTGATTCTCACAGAAGGCTGAATGTTTCGATTCTCACAGAAGGCTGAATGTTTCGATTCTCACAGAAGGCTGAATGCCTCAAGCACTTGACATGAGCTTTTTTCAGGTCCGGTGAACGTGTATAGCGTTGGATAATTCGTTCTCCCAGGCGCAACCAGCTCTCTCAGAAGAAGTAGCCTGTCAAGAGAAGAAGTCAAACTTCAGAACTCGCAAAAACAAAGAATTGATATGATGTAATGCCAAATTCGGTTATTTTGATTATATATTTTATCTTCACATTTATTCCTTGCATGATTGATTCATGAGGATAAAGCTCTGAAACCCTTATTGAATATATATACGTCTTATTGAGCATTTCTTTAATATTAACTTAAGGTGGAGATAAATTCATGAGATTTTTTTTAAAAACTAGGATCACATTTTGAACTCTAGACTGGCTTCATAAAAGTTAAATTCTCAAGATGATACAATGCGTTCATTAGAATTCATGGAACACATCTATTTGCTGAGCGAGGATCACTACTTCAAACGCGTTGCAGTTTCCTCACGGAATTTATCTCCCGTCCCAACTAATGAACCCTTTCTGTAATATTTTGCCTCCAAATATGACAAAGCAACTAATAATACCCATTGTAAACACTCCTAGTTATATTCAAACATTAAAAAAACTTAAAAATGGACTGAATATTTTGCGTTTGGGAGCATTTATTTCTTCATTTATCTCTCAGGTTCCGTGATCACTTTTCTAAGCCTATTTATGCCTGCCTAATTCTACATCTAAAACAAGCAAAGAAACAGAAATTATGAACCTGTACGTGTTATATAGATACCAAATTACATTCCCCATAACATACAAGTATATTTGCAATTGCCCAAAATGGCAACTAATAATTTTTTAGATTTGATTTATTAGAAGAGATGCGAAAGAAAAAATTTAAGATATGAAAAGGAAATTATTCAATGTAAATTATAAGATATCGAATGATACTTTCGAATCCGAAATATTTAAATCAACAATACTAACTTTGAGCCAAGCAATAATTACGTAATTCACCGTAGAAGACGAAGACCAGCAATTTTGAGCGATTAAAAATAGTATAAAAAACTATCACTACGGGATCAAGGGTAACCACTTATTCTAGAAGATCAAATTTAAATCATTTTAATTTATTTGTTTGTTTGTTAGATAAGAAAGAGGCATTATACCTCAACGCATACACGGAGGCACGTAAGCAGTAAAAATCCACTAGGCCACTAAGGGTCAACCATCTGTGCTGCCTAATTAACGTTGACTATTAAAGAACAGAAGAATGCAACCAGTCTCCTTTCTATGGCGTGCAATATAAGGACGAATAAAATGTCCAATGGTTAATACGACTTTGGTTCGCTCTAAAAACAGGTTTTGCAACTGCATATTAGTTTGTCGTTTCGCCCTTTTATCTTATCTGAAATAATAATTCTATAACAATCATTCAAAATTAGGAACCATTAAATTGACCTGGTATATCATTTTAATATTGTTCGTACAACGTACCTATTAAATTAACTTTGTACTAAAATAAGTTTCCATTACTTTCCATCATAAGAATAAGAACGACGAAATTCCCGAATTGACTAATCCCCGATTGATTCCCAGCGAATAACTCCTCAGGGTTCCCGGTCCCGGTTTGGGTTCCTCTTTCGCTGCAGCGCTCATTTAAGGTACTTTCTTGAAGTCATGCCTTATAGGGGCGGACGACGCGGCGCTAGTATTTACCTTATTGGAGGCGCGACGCCCGCGGCGCCTGGCAGCAATGCTCCGTCGCAAACCGGCACCTCTGCAGGCACTCGAGTGGACCAACTGCATCAGCTGTGACAACAACCGATGGAGTGATGATACTTGATGATCAGGGGACTCAAGTGTTGAGATCACGGTTCTCCAGTAGTGAGATAATCAATGGTCTCCAGTTTTGAGATGATCACTGGTCTTCAGTATTCAGATGGTCACGGGCCTTCAATACAGTTCAAAGAAATGATCACGAACTTCAGTGTATTGTTTTCCGGAGTAACACGCTTCCCATGTAAGCATATACAATGAGGAGGCACTGATTTTGTTAACTATTTCCTTCAATCACAAGTACTTATTGCACTGAAATGAAAAAATGGCTGTTTGATGCCACTGAAGTCCTGAGTAAGTTATGATGACATCAATCAAACATATAGTTGCCTGAAAATACCTCCAAATCTGAAAATAAATGTGGAAATATGTTAATCAGTATGTTAGTTTAGGCCCAGCTGGCAACCACTACGGCGAAGAGTTCAACGTTACTTCTATGAGGGTTTTTCAGATGTCATTTCACTTTTTAATTTCTTAGAAGCGATGTCTTAATATACTTCAAAATCCCAAATCAAACCTTTTCACATAATGTCTTACCCTCATTCAATCAAACTTAAGTCAAATTTACCTGGCTTAATTATCAATTGCATTACGTCGTGTATTGAAAAACTATACCGCCATGCTACAATGTTCGAACATTCGAATTTGACGATGTAAATTGATACCTAATCGGCTAATGAAAATTTCAAAAGCAGCATCGGTATGGTAAACAAACTATCGAAGACAAAAAGGTTTGTACAAGGAGGTGTCGTATTATAGGCATGTTGCTGGGCACGATTGTGAACAGGTGTTTAGGCCGTCGATAATTGGCGTAGCAAAGGTGATAGTGACCCAACACTGGCCCTTGGGGTACTCCTCTCTCTTTGCAATGACCACAACGCCTGGCGTCAAACGTACCTCACTTTGACCGCAAGGTCGCTGATTGACTTGCGACTCGTTTGGCCCTCCGTGCCACGCATTAAACAGAAAATTACAGACTGCACGATCGTAAATTGATGCAATGAGAGTCAGGTTTTTATCCCAGTAAATCGAGCGAAGAATAGTAGCAGAGGCAAAATAAATATATGCTAACAGATGATGGTGACAGCCGATGTGGTCGTTGCTCGGTCTCTCGGATATATTTGTATAAGGTTAACGCAAATTCTCCTATAGACCAGAGACTACGCTGTTGAATTGTTATAGTTTGTAGAGTTGCACAAAGCGCATAACACTTGCAAACAAAAAAAAATAATAATAATAAGTAAATGTTCTCTAACATGCAAATTCATAATGATAAATGAGTTTATCCTTACACTCTTCACACTCAAAACGGTAAATCTTTACGTTCAACTTTTTCTACTTTCAAGTCCAGTTCAATTTGTCTCTAGTCCAGCGTAATTTAAATAAAAGTAAGTACATCGCCTGATGCATACCATTTTCTTGAAAAGTAAGTATGATAATTTTTTTTTAATATAGATGTGTGAATTTACAGATGGACACTTGAGGCACTCTGGAGAACAGTCTCAGAATGCCACTACGTCAGGCAGTGGAGCGTTGAAGAGCCTCGCCCGCCACTTGCTACCACGATCGAAGCTTGCGCCCGACTGGCGTTGTAGTCTCCAGGGGCACCTCGCTTGATAACGCCCTCCCAAAACACAGTCTCACTCCAGACTGATTTGGCGGGACTTTTTGTTCGCGATTAGATTACACATATATTCCGGGAGTTCTGAATAAGAAAATTCATCGCAAAATATTGCGATTACAAAATCAAGTCTCATGGGACCGTTTACAACTCACGTACGAACGCGTGAGTTTAAAGTGAAAAAGATGCCCAAAAAAGGAGGGTGGAGTCGCGGCTAGAGAAGTTGTGTAGGAGACGGACGGGCGCTTATGGCCGGCACGCCCGAGCAAGCCTGTCTTGCCGTGCGCACTGTCCTCCCCATGCACCACTCGGCCATATCGAACGCCCTTAGTAAATTTCCTATTAGGAACGCCCTAAGTACTCATACCGTCTATTCATTGCCTCACTTTATTTATTGATATTACCTTAGCAAGATCTGTGATGCGAAATAAACGACTGAACGTGACTCCGTGCCTATCGAAACCTACAAGTTGCCTTTAATGCCACGATCTATAGAATTAACCTGACTTCACGCTTAGTAACGTGCATCAAATTACCAGTGAGGGTTCAATGCCTATTGAAAACATTTACCTATGAAGAATAAACACATGGTGGAGTTCCCAATCTGGGCTAATTTTTTGCCCACTTCATTATTTTTGGCTTTTTCATCGTTTCAGAACATTGTTTGGTTTTGTTGCCGTTCTTTTGAAACGTACATACACATCCGGACAATTAGCTAATTATTTAATTATTTAGGAAAATTATCAACAAAGGGCACACTTTCGCTCCCATGCAGCGGAAGCTCTCACATCTCTATTTATTGCCATAACATAACATATATGAATTGAAAATTCTGTTTCAGGCAAGGATTTATCATACGAGACGTCACTGCAGCGCGTGCAACATTATAGTGGCGTCACTGCAGCGTGTGCAGCATTATAGTGGCGCCACTGCAGCGTGTGCAGCATTATAGTGGCGCCACTGCAGCGTGTGCAGCATTATAGTGGCGCCACTGCAGCGTGTGCAGCATTATAGTGGGCTACTGCAGCGTGTGCAGCATAATTCATTCCATCAGAGCAATTTCATGGAGGCCTCGCATACCGTCCTGCATACTCAGCGTTCGTTATTGCTCAGCCATTTCCGATCCGCTGACGAACCTTGGCCGCCGCCGTGGCGGCGAGCCTGACGCGATATCGTGCTCTGGCTGCGGGATATGGCAAATATTTGAACATGTATTCACACGAAGAGTTGGGGATAGGAAGGAAATAATTATGAAATTTAAAAGTTTATGAAGAAATTTGCCATTATCGTTAAAATAGCGACATTATAAAAATTAATGTATATGTAAATATATATTTCGAGGTTCAAAACGATACTCTTATCCGTGCGCAAAGGTTGAGCAATCGATGCGCTCTCCCAGCGGTCGTTTTCGAAGAACGTGGGTGGAGAGACCTAAAGCTTTACCAGAAGACTTCTTACCAGTTCCCGGAAGTGTCATTGTATTTCATTGACGAAAGCAAAAAAAAAATTACAAATTCTCGTGAATCAAAAGCTTGATACCGTGCATCGCTTTTGCCGGTATTTATAAAAGTTTTCCGATGTTTATCTCATCAAAAATGTAATCATGCATGCAACTTTCATGCCGGTACTTATGCACACTGTGATTATTTTTTGCTTTGAAGGATCCTATTTATTAATAACACATGTTAATAAATAATTCGAACATTATTTTTTAGTATTCATATTTTGAATTGAAAACATTTCTAAACTTTTTTGCAAAGTGATATGAGAAACATTTTACATTACTTTGCTCGTGCAAGCATGGGCAATTCTTTCTGCAGCATTAGAGCCAGCGTTCCCGAAATGATGCAAGAGACGAGCATAAGCGTGCAAAACGCTTATAAAAGACGACATAACGTGCAAGAGACGAGCATAAGACGAGATCTACAGCATTTAGCACAGATAAGCAATGGGGGATCCGCCATTCAAAATAATCCTATGTTTAAAAATCCAACACATTGACGCCCTTGACAAGCGACTCATGCACACAAGAAGTAATTCTCCCAAAAATATTGCACATAAACTGAAAAATTATTTCAAATACTAAGAGAACTTCGGTGCAACATAAAATTAAGAGCAATGTGTCACCGTGTGCAAAGATTTCCCATTTCTTTTGGCTAATTTTGTCTTATCACAGCCAGCAGTACGCCTGATAAATTAAAAGACCAACAGCCACTACGAAAGTTACACCCATCAGATCTATGTGCGAGCTCCGACTAACATTAAACGCATTTAATGGTAATGCCATTTTACCTGAATTCTACAGCGCACGCAATTGCAGCGATGTCGCTGGTAGGATTGGAAATATCAATGTTGCGGTGGAGTGAGGCACTCTCAACAATATGATGGTGATTGTAAAGCTTACTGATAGCTGGGCACCGTAAGCTTTACTGGAGACGCCGCCCCAGTCCTACAACACGAGCAAGCTTCATTAACGAACGTCATTCCACTTCGATACGCGGCCTTCTCTTCATCCGTGTGGGTGAAAAGTTTTATGGAATTATACTCTTTCCATGGATGCGCACGCCTTCTTCCAACAAGAAAAATTGCAGAGATTCTAATATCACATTCATACGAATTTGGCTGAAGGAACAGCTATAGGACTGCCGGAAACATTACCCAATTCTTCGATTTCAGACTCTCGATGCAAATGCTAAAACGTGGTCTTCAACGCGTAAACTGCCACCACAAGAAGTAAAAAAGCTTACATTGTACGTCAGCAAACTCCTTAGGCAGAATATTTACTGAATAATACCTGTATTTGTGTGCCATTTTGCAAGCATGTTGCGGATGCTCCATGACAGCTCGGTGTGTGGTGCCGCAGCCTCGGATAAGAAACCTGCCAACATATCTCGTGGGGGGCGCACATGTCAAGACTATAAGTTAGGAGGAATATGCCAGGATAATCTCGTAGTATTGTAGCGTCTACGTCCCAGATTCTGAATGGATAAAATAGGAAATTTTGGAATTAGATCTAAAGCAAGAATTAGATTAACGCGTGAAGGTGAACGTCACCTCCTTGAACACGACACTAGTACACTTCGTTCACATTTCTAAAAAAAACTACTGCCATTCTGTAAAAATTGTTTTTTGTTTGATTGCTGAATATATGTGAAATGTTAATAATTGTTTACTTTCCATTTTCATTAATAACTTGTAACGATCTGTTATTTATTCAAGGTTCAATACTTTGGCCGAAGAACTAAATGAAAAGCGTCATCATTTTCCTACCTCAAATCTGAGCCTCCTAACTTGCTATACTCTTTGGTATAACGGGGAAAATTGTGTTAACGCAAATTTTGGGGGTAACTTAGAAAAATGTTTGTACTCCTTATAATGGAACAAAAATTTTCTCCAAATGCTCTTAAGCTTGCTTCTCCACATGTAAATAACGATACAAATTTGTATAACCAATCAAGTTTCCTAAGAAATCTTACAGCAGCAGTGCCTAACTCTTCAATTATTATTTGCACAGGAAACATACTTGTGTACGAAATAAACTTACTCAGATGTAAGAGAAACACCGACTTCCTGCATTCGTAAATACAATTAAAGAGACATTCAGGGCCAGGTTATTCACGACGCCTATACAAATCGTGTATGACTCGAAGGCATCCAAATCTCAAATTGTGCGATATGAAATAACTTGATGGCCCAATGTTTGCTGCTGGCTGATGGATGAAGCCATCTGCCCATTGAATACACAAAATTAGTTCAACCATTAATCTTGAG